TCTTTCTTTCTTTCTTTCTTTCTTTCTTTCTTTCTTTCTTTCTTTCTTTCTTTCTTTAGGGTTTCTCTATGTCCCACTGATGCAGTGTAAGCAAAAGCAAAAATGTACACAGGGTTCATGTTGAGGTAACCACTTAAAATTCATGGACTATACAAGGAGTATACAAGGACCCAAAAAATTTAATTTGCAAGGAGTATGTTCAGCTAACTATGCCAAAGTTTTACACGGTGGTTGCATATGGCCGACTTTCAGATTGTCCGCGATCTTTCTGACTAGATCTATTTCAGAACCATGCAAGTAATGATCAAAGCAAAAATTCAAGGAGTTTTCAAGGAGTTACACTAAAATCGTAAAATTCAAGAGCTTTTCAAGTGCCCTTGAAAACGTGAATTAAATTCAACGAGTTTTCAAGGAGTTTAAGGAGTAGCACGAACCCTGTGTATATGTCTCTGCGTTGGATTTTGTTCACAAAGCCAAAGTTTAAACTTTTTTATTCTCTTTTGAAATAGCCTATTATAAAAAGGTTTGTATGGAGGTATAATAATAATAATAATATAATAATCTAATTTATAAAGCGCCTTAATCCGTTTAACTCAAAGGCTTTATTTATGATATGAAATTTGCAAAAGTCATAAATGTGTCATATAAACATAATAAAAATAAACAAAAACGTCTACTGCATTTTGAAAAGAAAAGGTTTGAGTTTCTTTTTGGAAATTTCCAAACTGCTCTCCATTCAAATCAAGAGGAAGTTTGTTCCACATCTTTGCAGCAACAACACAGAAAGCAGTTTGTTCCACATCTTTGCAGCAACAACACAGAAAGCAGTTTATTCCACATTTTTGTAGCAACAACACAGAAAGCAGTTTGTTCCACATCTTTGTAGCAACAACACAGAAAGCAGTTTATTCCACATTTTTGTAGCAACAACACAGAAAGCTCCATGATGTCCCAATTATCCCTTGGTGTTGGAGTAAGGGGTGACCAGTAAAAAAGGTATATAGTATTTTAATTGTAAGTTGAAATATGGGATACAATTGCAGTTTAAGGAAATCTTACCTCCATTTCCTTCTGAGCTAATTCACATGCAGCACCCAGGCCAACACACAGTGTATGAGGTAGAGTACCACTTCTCATTCCTCTGTTTCATTGAAAAAATGAATGAATAAATAATAAAAAAATGAATGAATAAATGAATAAATGGATGGATCACTAAATGAATGGATAGGTGAAAGAATGAACGAATGAATGACAAAAAGAATAAGGGATCGAATAGATGAAAGAGTGAGGGAATGGATGGAGGAGAGAGTGAAAGAATGAATTGATGACCAGGTAAGGAGAATAAATGGATAAATGAGTAAGGTCAATGAACGAGTAGGTGAATGAATGAATGAAAAAGTGAGGAAATGAATGGATGGATGAATGAATGGATTAAATGAAATAAATGGAATAAATTGAAGAACAGTTTGTTAATGCATGAGTTGAGAGTGAGAGATTGAATAAGGTAATAAATGGATGGATGGATGAATATTGTGTGGCATTGCCAAAAAACGTTTAGCTTGACTGGTAAACAAATGTATACAGTATGTCTTCTATTAACCCCTCAGCCTTTAATAAGCCCCCTTTTGAATAAGCACCCAGCCCAAAAGCACTGAAAAAGAATAAGAATAGAATAAGAAGAATAAGAAAAAGAAAACATATTTTTTATTTCAAACCTTTCTTGTCCCCCTCCACTTTGAATGGGTTCTACACGGACACGTGGTCTACGTCTGACATACAGAGCACCAATACCTACAAATGCATACAGCCATAAATATCATATAACACTCCAGATGATCTGAGAAAAACATGTTAGCCAATTATTATTGCAATGCCGAACATATTTTTATTTTTCAGTGGTCTATTTTTGCAGGGCTTATGACACCCCAGTTTCACAGATTGACATCATCTCCACATCACTATACAGATCAGCTGACCAAGAACTATGGACAGCCGAACATGTGGCAGTTATTTACATGAAAATAGTTCCAGTACACAGATGAGCCATTCCAAGGTTAAGGAAAAGACTGAGTCAAGTTGGCATTGCAGTGCAATGTGGGAATGTTTAGGGGATATATTCCAAGATGGCATCTACTTCGTTCCCAAAAAAGTCCCACAATGCACTTCAAAATCAAATCTACCCGGCAGGTTTTTACTCATTCTCAGAATAGCTAATACAGTAAACCAAAAGTAAAGGATTTTGTTTGAATAGCGAGAAAATGTGCATACATGTACCTTTAGGGCCATAAATCTTGTGTCCACTGACAGACAATAAGTCAATCTTCATGTCATTAACATCAAGAGGAATCTTGCCAACAGCCTTGAATAATATAATGGGAAAAAAGAAATGGTAAAAAAGTAAAAGGTACTGTAATTTATTTCACTTAGATAACATGGGGAGTGGTTGCCCTATTCTCTCAAGGCAAAGGCTCATGTATAGAGCCCTTGAAGGTGCACCCTTCACCCCCTCACACAATCAGTACTCCTTATTATGGATATTTAAAGCTTTAGCTACACAGAACAGAGAGAAACCAAAAAAGACAAGTAAATCCTGAGGATTGAACCGTTGACCTCTGGCTCTGAAGGCCGTACACTAACCAACTGAGCTACACCTGCTAGTAAGCAAGGGCCAATCCCCTGTAACAATTGAAATCATCCATATTGAATATTCTATTGTGCAAAACCAAAAAAAAAGTTTGGCTATATAGCCTCACCTCACCCTCCCTCACCACTGACCCTAAAGAAGAGCAAATTAGTTGAATTGCTAAGCTTACCTGTGCAGCATCTGTATGGAAAAATACTTTGTTCTTCCGACATATCTCACCTGATAAAAGATATTACAAAGGTCTGAATCAATCCACTATAGACCCTAGTATCTTGGTTTGCATGTTTTGGATACTGTCAATGTCTTGCTAGGCACATGACTTACAGCCCTAACCTGGGCATTTTCCTCTCCACACAAGGGTGCAAAAAATAGTCTAGATATATATGAGGTTGGTTTATCAGTCTTCCATATGGCAAAGAGATAATAATGAGGAAAATACATATTGGTCATTTGAACAAGAGTCTGGAGCAGTTCATCTGGGGCAAGTTTTGGATTTAAGACAAGCTTGTCCCCATAAGCATACATTCTGTGCAAATTTTTGACACTTTAAACACGTAATTCTGATTCTTTTTATTAAAACACGATTAAATTTGCCAGAACTACTAAAATATTAACATGCTTTCTCAAATGATTTTTTTTTGTTAATCAGTTTGAAATTCAAAACTCATATCAAAATATATAAATATTTTCCAATGGCCATTTTTTTATTGCTTAAGAGTAGGAAACGAATGGTTTACGAATAACATTTCGTTATGATCATTTCATTAGGTGGTGCATACCTATTTCCTTTATTGGTTGTATGACGCCAATTTCATTATTGATTGTCATGACAGACACAAGAGAAGTGTCTGGACGGATAGATTTCTCAAGTTCCTGAAGTAGGAAAAAATAAAAGTTAGCACTGTGTTCGATTTATTGTAACTTTCAATATTCTGCAAACTCAGACATTTCAAAAACTTGTAATAAAATCCATTTTATGCTGCCATCAATCAAATCTAATCAGTGAGCACCTTAATCAGTGAGCACCTTCTTACTTGAGGCACGTCAAAAAACGAATTCAAACAGTCCACAACTACTGAGTTCAAAGAATATTGAGAATAAATATTGCAGAAAGTTATATACCAACTTCATGCATGATGTTTCAAAAAATGAAAAGGCCAATAGAAAAGACAAGGTGGTATACTAAGGAAAGAAGACGGTGAAAGCAAAAAAGGGAGGAAAGAAAGAAAGAGAGTACAACAGGGTGGGTTTCCAGAATAAAAAAGTAAAAATATAGTAGAAGCTAATTAATATTTTAAATTAATTAATCCAATTCATTACCAAAGAAATTAGGTGTCCGTGCCCTGTGCCCCACCCTCCCCTAGTGCCCCTATRCTAGTGAAGTACGACATACCCCTAAGTCTATGAGCCCATTTTTGTTAACCCTCAGATATGTGACTTCAAGGCCTTCCCCTTCAAGACTGCGGCAGGAATCCAGAACACACTTATGGTCCTGAAAATAGATTGAATATGATATAAAGTTTATAAATAAAATAGAAAAATCAACTGGTCAACTGTTTATAGAGGATAACACTTGAGAGTTTGTATACTGATAAACTCGACGTCTTCAATGTCTCTAGTTGGCATGGTTAGGGAGGGGATCACTGTTAACGTGGTTATCTGAGCAATGTATTATGAAGGCAGAACCTTCTCAGTTATTTTAGACTGACGGATGCTCTTACCAATAAGAGCTAACCAGGCAGCATTCAAATAAATAAAATGAAAAAAGTTGAGGAGCATAGCTGCTCCCTCCAAAAGATTTTTCAAAACTTACTGTCTGTGTTGTTATTAGATGTTTCTTTTTCTTCTTGTAAAACCTCCCAACTCCCTAAATATAAATAAATCATGAAATTAATGAATATTGACCGAGTCATGAGTCTTCAAGCGGCGAGGTCTACAAATATTGCCCATATAATGGTATGATGGTAATGATAAGGTGCAGATGTCATTGTTATTGGTGGTGTTGATCATGATGATCGGTGATGGTGGAGTTAATGGTCATGTTAATAATCAATATAGAGCAGGTGCATGTTACGTCATTGCCACCATCTTGGTTGACGATAACAAAGCATTCCTCATTCGCTTCTCTTGTTAGATTAACCATCACAGCAACTGTTTCATTGTTATTCATATCTCAAAGGATTTTGAGTCACATGCTTGCACACACTCTATACCTTAATAGCTATATTATTGGATTCAGTTGCTCCACTTGTGAAGACTATTTCTTTTGGATCAGCTCCTAACAAATCTGCAACTTGCTAACATGAAAATATAACAATATTGAAATTATTAATTACAGGAGCATTGCTTTCAAATTGAGCAACAGAGAAAGATATTTTGTTCCAGAAATTACCCATACCCACCCCAAAGAGGAAATTGGAATTTCTGAAGGGGTAGGCATAGGGGGGTCAGAAAAAGAACAAAAATTAATGAGTTTGTATGGAAGAAAATTGGAATTTCCGGGGGTAGGTGGCGTTCTGAAAAACATTCCTCCGTGGGGGAGTGTGGATAATTTCTGGAACTATAATTGAATTTGAAAGTTAATGGAAGTGTTAGTGACTGTTTTTTTTTCTTTATACAACGACAATCTTTTAGATGTCACTTCCGGTAATATTTGAGGAAGATTAGAGGATCTTGGAGGTTGTTCATATGTGTATCTTGATTTCTGGTTTCAGACCATAGAAATATTCAGATAGAATACTTTGAGGATTATTTTGACATATTTTGACTTCAAAATTGCTAGGTGCAAATTAATTTTCCCCTAGCTGTCAACTCCAAAAAGCCATGTGATTGAGAGTAAGTAATTACCTTTCTTGCATCTTCCACAGCATGTTCACTTTCCCATCCATAAGCGTGTGTCCGAGAATGAGGATTGCCATAAAAAGACACTGTGTATGGCATCATTGCATCAATGACACGAGGGTCCTAATAAATACAGAAATGTCTGTCAATGTAGCTATTAACATGTTCTTACACTGGATCACAAAACATTTTGGTGAGCATGTGAAAAGATCTGATTTCTGTGCATTGCAGAGTAATAAAAAATAAATATCTTTATTAAAGTGTCTAGTCGTTCTAGCACTTTTGCACTAATTGGGAACAATTTTCACTGACACTTTTCACTGACACTCAGATCCACTAACTCGTGAACTCAAGAAGTCAAGGCTAGCGTAGTGGTAGTGCAAGTGCTCGCCTCCCAACGCAAATGTCTTTGGTTTGATTGCTAGACTCATCATCACAGGTTGGTAGATTTTGTTGGGTCTCTCACTCAATTCAAGGGTTTTCTCCAGTTTTCCTCCCTCGGCAAAACCTAACACACTATTTTATTAGTCATTATTATTTCAAAACGTAACACTAAATTCCAGATATTGGATCTATTAGCTAGCCATTTCATTCCACAAAAATAAACTTCTAGTTTTCAATTTGAATTGGCAAAAAAAAAGCTCAAACATGAGACCCTGGCAACAAATAACACACCACTCTATTAAACCTGGAATTTTGCCTAAAATACATTAAAGCTCTTCAAAAACAAGACATTTGCCCCTCATACAATGGTAAAGCAATAAAATTTTCTGTTGGCTTGTGGACTGAGTTGGCTTGTGCAAGAAGTTATTTGGTAATAGTAACAGGAGCATTACTGATAATGTTTTTGGCAAACATTTATATCACAATGTGACCTGTTATATGATATTGTTATTACACCATACACGTTTCAGACACTGACAGTTATGATGACATGTGTATTACCATTGGTGTTGTAGCCAGCTGATCTAGGTACAGAGGTCTTCGTTCCTCAATCCCATTTTTTGGGCCAGAATCTGCACAAATAATGCAAAAGACATGCAATGATTATTATTATTACAAAATAAGAATAGAAGTATCACAGGGAGCCCAAACTATATTTTTTGTTACTCCTAAACTACAATTTTGGATGAAATTCCACTTCTGTTTCCCAAAAACCAAATTACTAGTTATTTGAACCTGTGAAGCGGCTTAAACAAAACCAAAACACGTGTCAACCTTGGTACTAACCAATGTTAAGTTTATCAACATAACATAAGCTTCACATATTATATAACCTTTTGTAAAGTTTAAGCTAACAGCTCGCTTGCTTTCAATAGCTTGTACAAAAAATATACTTATATTTCTATTTATTTGAGTCATTTACCATTTTTGAAGACATATATTTGACATTATTTTGAAGTTATAAACCATATTTCAGATCCAAAGTCCACTTTTTCTCTCAACGAGTCAAGCGAAGGTTTGAACACCATAACACTAGCAACAAAAATAACTCGTACCTGGAGCAGCAATCGTACTAGAGCAGCGAATAACCACTGTACTTCGGTTGGCTAAGGTCGTCAGTGAAATTCTCGATAACCTTCGAGCTAACATGTTGAATATTCAAGGCTTTTCAAGCCTTCTTGTTCTCATAACACTTGACCTAATACAAATGTATTCTATTCCCGCTCGCTCACTTCACGCGAAGATGCGTGAACATGTGACTTCTATCCACAGGTAGCCCAAACTGTTCTTTATATCAGTGAATTTCATCACAGGTAGTCCAAGCTAGGTTCCTTTGGTGTTATGTCACTGGTGTCTTGTTATCATAAGAAAATGTATGGCGATACTTAAAAAGTTCAATAGACTAGTCAAAATGTGAAATAAAGTAAAGAAATCTTAGCTAGCTTGCTTTCTCGAAGCTAGCTTGGGCTACCTGTGATTTCACGATGACGTACGTTAGTGTTCCATCATATTCCTTTTCGTTTCTTGGTACTTTGATGTGGATAAAATCATCCAAGATGACCTTGAGAATCCATGCCAGCAATTGGACATGGGCTTTCTGCGCCTTCTTACATAACGAGTGGAGTGTCAAGTGTCACAGCTTTATTTAGAAATCAGTGGCGTAGCGAGAGAGGAACAGGAAGGGCATACGCCCCTATGACCCCCCCCCCCCYCAAAAAAAAAGTTTAGCTGAAGCTGTGGATATGGTAGGCAACTCTAAAGAAGAAAAGAAAACACATGGTGCATTCCCCATAACATTGAAATTGGAGGGGAGGGGTGGAGATACAAGGTACCCAACCTGGAATTGAGATCCTGAATTTAACCACAAATATCTCCAAAACTAAAACAAAAATGGAGGAAATGAATATATCACCAGCTTGCATGCAAGCACTGCATGTTTTTCATCAAGTCGTTTTTGGTGATTAGTTGTGAGAAAGCCTCACGCAAAGTAGAAGTGCTTCCCTTGGTGGAGCTAAGACGTGTGCAATCCAAAAGTTTTAGGCAAACCTTTCAACTGATGAGGTGTTAAACAAACGACAAAAAACAAACAAACAAAAAGACAATCTTTGTAGTATGAAAATTTCTTTTTTATTTTGAGGTAAGAAAACCATTTATAATCTTTATCTGAAAAAAGCCCATCGCATTAAGATTCATCTGTTTATCCTTACAAGTTTTCGGTCGGTTTATAAAGTCCTTTTTCTTGTTGTCTTATTTGGGTTTTTTAAACTTTCCACCGATTTTCGCCTTTTTATTCTTCGCCCCTTTTGCATCTTCAATCTGGGAAAGGATCAAATATTATCCAAGTTAGGAAAACATTTTACAAATACTTAGTGTACTTATGAACCTGCTCGCCAACCCTCTGCATGAGTATGTGTAAAGGTACGGCCACACGTAGTCTCCCTCGCATCCGTTTTTAGTGTCGGTCGTCACGCAAAGGGAGCGTTGCGCGAAGACCGACACTAAAAACGGATGCGAGGGAGACTAGGCCACACGGTGCAACATTGGGCCATTGAATGCAATGCTGCTGAAGTAGGATGGTTTTCTACTTTAGCAACGTTGCGTGCAATAAATTGTGTCATGGCTCGCAACATCAATTGCATGCAACATTTCGTGCAATGTTGCACCGTGTGTTTGTAACTTAAGGAGTTTTAGGTTGTCCCCCCATTTCCCCCTCCCCCCGCAAATGGTGTAGCGAGAATAACTAGAGTAAAATTAGATGAATTTAAAATGGCAGAGGTTCCATGGAGCGACTATCTGGCTTTCGGCGGAAGTGAAAGCTGAGAACCCAAAGGAAAGGGCCTCGAAGCACTGAAGCAGAATACCTTTTAGGAGAACGATTTTGAGGGTCAGTGGACCTTGGTGGACCTTGGTAAGAGCCGCTAAACCGAAGAAAGTAAAACTAAGAACGACATACCTTACGCTTGTTTGGAGTATTTGAAGGAAGCACTTTAAAGAATGAATCGAGACGTCCTTGAGTAGAACCGTGTCGTGCCTTAGTAAGCTTCTTAATACCGGATCTAATGCGATCTTCACTGTAAAGGAATGAGAGGAAACACTTGTTTCACCATAGGCAAAGCAACATGACATAACGCTCAATATTATCACTATTAAGTTGTGACATATTTCCGGGTCCAGCTGTTCACAAAAACCGCTAAAATAAAGCGAAAAAATTTTCTCAATGCTTTAACATCCACAAAAAACAATTGAACTTTGGATAGCGAATCCTGTCTCTTAAGAAAAAATATGGAATTTTTTTATTGAAGTGATTTTCGTTTTGGACCAGGAAGTAAATTTTCTCATACGAGGCTGTGCATTGTTGCCCGCGAGGTCTTCAAATTGTTCAATTGTTCAAAGTAGAAACCGGAGAAAGAACCTAAGGACATATGAAAGAACTAAACAAACGCAGCTTGAGATCACGTATCCCGGCTCACGCTGAATCGTACAAAGTAGGTTTGGAGGACGTCCAATACGAGTTGACATTCCATAGGTACGTGGCCTTGAAAGCTTTGTTTACCAACAATGAAACTGTTTGATTGACGTCCACCAAAACCGACGGTAAATTGTGTGATTCTGCGCATGCTATCGAAAAGCACTGTAAAGCTGAAAGCAATAAGAAAGCCTGAACACATAAACATCTACCATTGTTTGTCTATAAGGTAAACCCCTAAAACATTATAATACTATTATGTGTTTTATGATAAAAAATGCTCACTTGAATCCCTTTTCTTCTGTCATGTATTTTATCAGACCATCTTCATCTGGCTCTTCCCACTTCAACTATGAAGAAAAAAGTTTCAGCATACCGGTGTTTTAGTATGTGAACACTAACTTGTCTTCAAAGACATATCTTTTTAAGTCGCACTACTCCACTCCCATCGTAACTTTCCACCCCCATCGATTGTGTATAGGATGAAAAAAAAAAAAAAAGATTGGATTTCAGACGTTTTTCCTTCGTTTTACAAGCCCCCCTTGTTATAAGCCCCACCGATCATAAGCCAACCCAAAAACCCTTACGGAGTTGTATGATCCCAGAGCTTATAACTGGGATTCAAAGGTAATACAAAAGGTAACATTCCATTGCATTCCATAGTATCCTTATAACCAATAATGGGAAAATATGACTTTGAAATGGCCTTGAAGCATTGATTGGCTAGTATAACTTTGAAATGACTTTGAAGCATTATGATTGGTTAAAATGACTTTGAAATGGCCCTGAAGCATTATGATTGGTTAGTATAACTTTGAAATGGCCTTGAAGCATTATGATTAGTTAGTATGACTTTGAAATGGCTTTGAAGCATTATGATTGGTTAGAATGACTTTGAAATGGCTTTGAAGCATTATGATTGGTTAGTATGACTTTGAAATGGCCTTGAAGCATTATGATTGGTTAGTATGACTTTGAAATGGCTTTGAAGCATTATGATTAGTTAGTATGACTTTGAAACGGCTTTGAAGCATTATGATTGGTTAGTTCAGAGCTGAAGCTGAGCTGTCATTTGAGGCCTGTGATAGTAAGCCTTGCCCAACCTTGATCATATGGAATATGTTTTTACCTCTATTTGATCCCCTGGCGTAACGTCAGGATTTTTAAACAGTTCTCTTGCTTCCTATTAGAAATAAAGCATAAAGTCAGGACCTGATCCAACATTTTCTAATTTTAATTTTTTCTACAACCAAGGTAGCGAGGGATCCATTGAGACACATTAAATAAAATTCTGAAAAACAACTCACTTTATAAAGCCAGTTCTCTGGAGGAGTATATTTCTGGAAAAACAAACAAACAATTCTTTATTTATTTTTGCCAAAAATGAATCCTTTGAATGAAATGTCACTCAAAACACACAACACTTACATTTGAGTCAATATGTTTTATAACCTCTTCTATAGAACGATGCTGTTGAATGAGATCAATGGCTCGTTTGGGTCCAATACCTTTGAAATACAACAAATACAATAAAGTAATGTATATCTTCTTTGTTACACATCAAGTACATCCTGAAAGATGTACATGTCTTATACACATATGCCTTGGGTGGGTGGGTGGAGGGTGGGCCCTTTTAGCAGCTGAGTGCTGATTGATCAACCATGGTTGTGACTGATCAATCATGATCAAAAGATTGATTGACTGTGACAATGGCAGAACATGAAGAGCAAACAAATCAATCCTAATCAATCTTGCTCCACCAATCAACATTCAGTTCCGCAAAATCTGACCATCAACCAAAGGGATCAGTGACTGACAATGAAAATCGATGATAATTATTGACCAAAGTGCTGACCTGCTACAGACAACTTACTATATAATTATAGACATAGGCAACATAGGCAATATTACTCTTGACAATTCATTATAAGCGTATTTATGTACCTTTTATTGAGTCACAATAGTCACATCCAAGTAGGATACCAAGATCAATAAACTGAAATTAAAAGAGCCAAGACTCAGAGAGAAGCCTTCCATTTTTATTCAACACTGAAACATTTTCTGGGGGTGATGAATGTCAGGGTAAGACAATGAATGTTAGCTTTAGATTATTTAAAATAAAAACAAAAATTAAACTACAATTTGGTAGGGTTACTAGATTTAGAGTAATTTTTATCTAGACCCTTCTAAATAGATTGGAATTTAGAATTTGATGCTTGCAATGGCTCAAGTTTATATACTGACCTCATCTTGACTGAGTCCTGTCTCACTTAAAATATTTGTCAAGTGGTATTCCTTGATTGGCATTTTTCTGAAAAAGATGTTATACTTTTTAATACTTTATGATGACAAATGAAAAACAAATGGTTTTGGCAAAACAGATGCCGGAGTTTTTCATTATTTTGATTATCTTCTTTATACAATAATTCTTATCATCATCAACATCACTACTATGGCAAATTTTATGATATTCTGGTTGAGTTGTCAAGCAAAAAGAAAAAAGAACATTTCAAGTTGAGGCTCCAGGGAAACAATTAATTTAATAATAATGTAATTGTATCCCCCCCCTGGAAAATTGACTTAGATTGTTTTGTGCTTTATCACTCAACCAGAATATCAAAAGCTGACTATTGTCATTATCATCATAATCATCATTGCAATACTTATTAGACGAATATTTGTTTTACTTATTCAATAAAAACATTTTGCCACGCTGTTCGATCAATGTTCTGTTTGACTAAGAGAGTGCTATACACATTTCCTATATAGATAATGTTACAATTAATAAGACTAAATGTACATACTTAGCCTCACTAAATGTTAGATGTCTTAGCAACACAGATGTACCAAAGGTAAGAGCATCCATATCCTCTGTTCCTGTTGCATACACCTGCCAAAGCAAACAACAAACTCATCAATTTTTAAAAGAGAAATAGTGAGAATCATTTGTCAAAGCCCAATCTTTCAAATAAGATAATCTCTTTGTCGATTGTCTCTCATCCTGAGGAGTAACAACAAACGGTTGTCACAAGTTTTGCAACAACAACAACAACAACAAYAAAAAAAACACATGAAAATACTGAGTAATTTAACAAGGATTTCTTCAACGTACCTTTCCAGATTTGACAAGTTCTGCACACTGAGCCTCTGCTTCACATGGTGCCTGCAATGGCAATGCAAACAAGCAAACATCAATTTCATCAGCCCTTACATGTAAACAACCTCAGCTTGGAGATCCCAAAGGAGAGTAAAGGAATCAAGAGAGAGAGCCGATAAAAACTGAGACCCCAGACGTAAGAGGTGAATGATTATCACTACATGTACATGTCCTTTGATTCCCAATAAGCCATTTAATTGTGAATTGTAAAGTAAATAATCCAGCAAATAATAGTACTTAAATTCTAAGAGCTAATAGTCCCCTTCACGGTTCCCTGCATCATCTTGAAAGATAGCCGTGCCTTTGCATCAAAGTGAGATGAACGATTTTTAACTTCTTGGACAATTATTCACATGTCTCTATCACCGCAAGCTCACTGTTTGTCTCGTTGCAAAGGCACGGCTACCTTTCAAGATGGCGCAGGGAACTGTGAAGGAGACTATTAGCCTAGAAAGAAAGAAAGATACTTGATAATGTAAGTGCACAAAATACTTGACATCTGTTCATTAAAAACACATACCTCTACATATGGGACTCCCATAAACTTTAACAGCTTTTTACAGTCATCACTATGCTCTTTTGTCACTCGTACCTACAAAAAAATGCAGAAAAGTTTACTTTTATAAAAATGTTTTAATTTATACATGACAGAGAATAATTTAAAGGGTTGTTTTTAAAGGAAAGATTTCTTTAATAATGAGATTTAGTAAAAATACACAGGTGATTATTGAAAATCTCACGCACTGATTGGTTGAAAAACTCACACTATCACACGATAATCACCTCCAGTGATAATCCAAAATGGCGGCCAGCTGCTTCGTTGCTGTTACTGGAAAAAAAAATGTCTTTTATCTTCTTTTTTTCCCTTTTTTTGAAAGAATCACCTGTGTATTTATACTAAAACAATCATTTGCCCGAGCCTCAGTGAATATCGGAGAATATTTACCTCACTGTTAAAAGACATGCGTCTCGATAAATAATACGAGTAAAGTAATACCAAATACTTACCAATCTTCTTGTAAACTTGTCAACATTTTCTGCATCACCAGCTTCTTCTGCTTTTTCCAGCTCTTTTTGTGCTTCCTGACGTCTTTCATTACGTTTAGCCAACTATAAAATTATATTTGGGATTTTGTCTGATCAGTGATGTGGGTGAGTTAATAATAGTAGAGATCAGGGTCTGTGTGTATAGTGGGTGGATAGTGCTATCTGATGGATAAATGCTCATCCAGTGGACGAGACAATGCTGTTATCCAATAAATTAATCCATTGGATAAGATTTATCAACTGAATAGCACTATATCCACCCCTTGTACAACCAGGCCCAGACAACAAGGTGATCAATGTCAGAGTTGTTTTTGCACCTTTATTGGTTCTTTTTTTGTGTGTCTAATGCAGGTTATGGCAATTAAGTGTGCAACTAAATTTAGTTTGTGAGTTACTTTTTGTTATTCTGAAATTTGAATAGATATTTACCTCTCCTGATTTCATCTGTGGTGGCTTTCCATCAAACACATATCTATAGCAATAAAAAAACAAGAACGCATTCAATGACATCAGCAAATGCTTATAAGCAAAGTAGCATTTACATTCAGAGAAGTCACTGTACTTACACTGGCTTGATTCCATTCTCAATCATCCTAATCGTTCTGTAAAACATTCCCATTAAATGACTGAGAATGAAAGATTCAAAATTAGTTCTGTACTATACATGTCAATACATGTAGACCCCATGCAGCACATTGGAATGCAGCTCAATTTGGAGGACATAACAATAGGTTTCCAATTTTCTAGAGATTGAAATTCTTTTGTTTTGATTTGTCCTCAAAATTGAGTTGCTTTGATATCACATGAAAGGGGCATATATACAACAGGTGTTTAGATATACTGTGAATAAACAAATAAACAAAACAGTTAATTAATGAATGGATGGATGAACAAATTCATGAATGGATTTATTAACAGTGGCATTTTCATGGAGTGACTTTTTCATTGAACCCATTTGGAATTTAGAAGTCCAATTTTGCAGAGGGAGGACTTTGTCATAAAAAATACAGCATCTTCATTTATTTCCAGGGGTGTCCGTCCATCCTCAATGGGGGTAGCCATCTTCAGTGTAAGGGGATACAGATAAAGCCTTGTTCACACTAGCCTTGTAAACATCATGATCATAATGGCAATGGTATTCTTTAGAAACTTAAAATCGTAAGCCTACCTTCCTTGTTATTTTTCCGCCAGCTATTTTCATTATGGCGGATAATTGTATCCAGCTTAGTGATTGGTCAACCCTTTGAATTTCAATTTCTTGTTTGACGGTAATTGTCTTAATAATGATAATTGTAAGAAAACGAAACCTTCTGATCTTTGTTTAAGATTATGACACTGTTATGATGAACTTCACAACGGTGCTTAAGACTACAGTTTTTGATTCACACTGAGCTTTAACGCTGCTTGCGATTGCAATCATGATTATGACGCTAGTCTGAACAAGGCTTACTGCAATTTTCTTAAACATGCAAACTCTGTGTCTCCAAGTTACATTGTACCAACTCATTAGGTTTGATTGACGGCAGCGAAAATCAAATTTCAGCGTGCAACTTGGAGACACAGAGTTCGCATGTTTACGAAAATCTCAGTAAAAGTTGGAATGCTATGCACTCATTTCATTCAACTGTTTATTATTCTTTACCTTGTTACCTCTCCAGATTCGTTGGTAAGCTGACTACCATCACTTCTCACAGCTATCAGAAACTGATATAAACTCATCGAAGCATCGATAGCAACTTTTCTACCTGAATAAATCAGTTGAAACGTCGTGCTTAAACGTGGAAAAGCAAGTTATAAACTTACTAAACAGCTGTAAATTTTATTTTTTACTCTTCTGCTACGTCCATAAATGCAATTTGTCTAGTTAATTCATTAAATAAATCATTTAAGTTGCAATCTATGTAATCTAGATCTAAGAATTATACGATTTTTAACTATTTAATTAACTTGATGAAATATGGATAAATATGTTCGACCTCATGTTTTCAAACTACTGAAATCGTATATGCGAAAATAATTCAGTACCTCTAACTCTAAACTTACCAAAATAGTTCTTAATATCATTTTCCTTCATTCCAGTGGGTGCAATATCAGCAAGGAGTTTTGCTAGACCCTGAATTCCCATGCTTAATGCTGTTGTTTTTCGTGAATTAGTATTCTTTCCCTCGACGTTTCGAACACAGATTTTCCCGCCAAAACAATAAACTAAGCCCACGAACAGCCCGCGTTGTTCAGCGGTCACGACATTCGTACCAGCTTATTCTCGGTTTGTTTTTCACAGGGAGCCCAGTTTCGAATCCAAAACCTCTGTTTATATTTAAAGGCGTGGATGACTATCATTTTTTTTGAGACAAGCCAGTGGCAGATTTACTTTTAGACGGTTCCATTTTCTGAACAGTAGGGGTTGAAATAGTCTTAGTAGTAAATCTTCCACTGACTGGTCCAATAGCAAGACCTTTCATTATTTGATAGGGGGTACCCTGATGTCCTCCGTCTGAATTTTACAACTGCCTATGTAGCAATTTTGAAACATTCTTGTATCGCTTGTCAGAAATTACCCCTAAAAGGACATCAGTATATGAATAACCCCATGTACAAAGGGTTCAAAACAGGGTTCTGAAATCATGTCATACCCCTTGTCTAAAAGACGATTGAAATTTTGCTCTCAATCCCACTTCCTCTACCATTTTTAGTTTGGTTCTCAAACAGAGAAACCCTGTAGACCCTCTGTACAAAGGCAAAATTAATTTTGTGTTGTATCATTCTTACTGGAGGGGACTGTAGATCCCTCTACTAACTATGATTGTATTGACCCATCAGCCTTGATCACATAATATTATTTATTAGAAAAATACTGAATGGAACAAAAGAACAATTTTTTATTTCTAAATTGTGAAAAATAAATACAAATTAAGATATAAAACATTATTATATCTCATGTGTGCCAATACATAATTCATATGGATGTTGAGACTCCTCATTACATTTTATGTGTTTTACGTGTTTTGAAGAAAAAATACAAATATATATGTCATATATTGTTAGAAGAAGGAAAGTGATTATCAGTACTTATTGTCAAACAAAATTCATTTCAAAAACCATGATAAAACTTTAGAAATTACTTGATCACTAACTAGTTTTCCATACTCATAATATTATATGCCATCAACAGCTAACATTACCCCTCCCCCCTTTGGACAGTTGTTTATTTTTTGACTGATCTTTGTTTCTTGCTATTTATAAGGATTTTTTCAGCATATTCTTCCTCCTCTCAAGGCCAAAACGAGATGAAGAACAGAACCACCTTGGATTTTATAGTCTGCAGCTGTTTTTTCATCATTCCTTTAGACAAACAAACCTCAATCATAAATCAATTTGTTAACTAAAATTTATAAATCCTTTCCCAACCCTTTTTTAGTAAGATCCTTTTCAGTATATATATAATACATTAGGAACTAAGGTCTAATTTCTAGTCTTTTTGCCTTTCCCATTAGCAACTGGTCTTGTTTTCTTGCTATTTTTACAGAAAGGGGTTTACATTTAAAAGCAGACATTTTTTGATGACCAGCTATTACTTTAAGCCCTGTGATAACTTAAAAATTATACAAGAAAAGTAATTAACTTTGTAATGAGCTACTCACATTTGTTTTCCACTGAAGATCAACCTATTCATTTAACAAAACAATAGATAAACCTTTAATTAGAATCAAACTTTTAAAGAAAGTTAGAGTGAAGGGTGGAATATTGGGTACTACACGAATGAACCAATGAGAGTTCAATTCTATACGTCCTGGCTATTGCTGAGTTTCATATCAGGTGAGAGGAATGGGAAGATCAGACAACTGTTGACCAGGCTGGATATTAAAAATGAAAATGTCCTTTTTACTAAATGATCTTAAAGTGCTACTACGACGAAAATCGCTCAAACTTGGATTCAGCTGAAACTTCCTAA